AAAAAAAAAAAACATAGTGAACAAATGTTTTACTCTGATACAGCATACAGGCTGAAAATTTAATACTTCTCCACCAAGAAAAGGAGTTAGGTTCACAAGTGTTATTCTAAATATTGATATGTGTTTCTTGATAAACTATAATAGCTAAAGAACTACAAGCCATGAAGCTCACAAAAGTTGAAGAAAGTACAAAATTGTAGACTGATCCAAAAAGTAATTACTTAACATTTGAACTTGAACAAGAATGGAGTATAGATTAGCGAAGTGAAGCCATAGAGGAGGAGCAAAGTGAGACTCAACTGAAAGGAGAGGGAAGGTGTAATTGACTACCAAACGGGAGAAATGGTTTTCCGCTATGTGCGGTTACTCGTTATTGGGTATTGCAATGAGGTACAGAAAAAGGAAGCTATCTTGAGTAACCCTTTAGAGAGTGAACAGAGGAGTTGCTTCTGCTAGTCTTGATCAAGAATGGAGTATAGGTTACAATCTGCTAGTCACACAAACATTTTTCTTAGTATAATAACGACTCCTATGGGCAAGTAAACTACCGTAAGATAGAGTGGAGAATACATTGCAGTGGCAAATGAATATTGGCAATGATAAAAAAAAATAAAAAATAAAAAAAGGTCAAGGATGCTTTCGTATTACTTGATCAAAAAGCATACAAAAAAAGTAAAATAATACTAACAAATGGAAAGAAAACAGAACTTACGTCCCAAAAAGCTTCCCCGGAACCCACCACTGACCAGAATTGAAAATCAGAATATCCGAATCAATCCACTCTTTACTGATGTCATCCAGCTTGTCCAATTTAAGTGTCGACCGAACTCTCCTGGGCACATTCTTGGGAGCCCAGTTGTGTTGCACTAGAAACACAGATCGGTAGAACTCAATTGTGAAATTAAAGGTACTAAACCTCACACCCAAGAATCTAATCTGCTTTGTTATCCTATTTCCATTGACTTCATAAACGCTTCGTTTATTCTCCACACCCGTGATCAGCAGACATATCAAAGACTCCCACTGAGTGCGACTCATAGAGTCACCAACAAAAACAACTCTCTTATTCCGCAGAGCTTCCAGAACATGCCGCACGTTAACTCTCGGGATTTCACAGTTTTTGGGCTTCCACCTCCATTTCAGATAATCCTCATCCTCACGGCCGTTCATCAAGCAGTTAAACCCTTGCTCCACAAAAGGGCACTCCGAGGCATTATACAGGGGATAACTATCATCAAGCACCCAATGCCCGTCAAACACATCACACGCGTCAGATGTGCTGTTTGACCCCGATAACCCAATATCACGGTCATGGAATGCGTGAGTGAGGTTTGGGAGGACATACAAGTACCCACAGCCGGTGGCCAAAAGGAAGGAGACCAGGGACCCAATTGCAATTACAGCACGGAACAGCCTCGACACCCAACTCTTTCTACTGAATCTCGGACTGCCCACACTCGCGGCCCTTTGTTTGAAAGAAACACTTCTATTGAAACTACTCATTTTCTCACTGCAAATCCACATAAATCCCTCATACCCGTAGAAGCCAAAATCAAATGACTAAACCACAGAATAGAAACATGCCCAATCAGATAAAGGCCGCCATAAAAGAATCAAAGCACAATTTAATTTGTTAACAGTCACTCGCTCGCATATCATCTGGAATAAAAATTGATTTAAAGAAGTACGCTGATTTACCATTTTCCATCCAAAAGCTTCAAGAATTGGAGCGGTGAATCTCATTCAAAAACTGCATCACCGGCTGAGAAACACTTGAAAAACCAGATGAGCGCCGAATATTTGTCGAGAGCAAAACTATGCCCCGCGCTCGATAGGACATTTTTTCTCTACAAACTTTCACAAAATCGGGGAACACCTAGATCGGAGATTATGCATGCGGCGATACTGTTGAGATGCAGCATTTGTGGAGAAAGTGAAAAGTTTGAGTAGTAGTCGGCATTGAGGAATGGAGTCGAGATTTGGAAGGCAGCAGGTGAGATGGGAGGAAGATGGTGGAGATTGACAGAGAGAGAGAGAGTGGGTGGGAAAGCTACAAAATAAAAAATGAAAAAAAAAAAAAAATAAGAGAGAGAAAGTACGTGGAATGCAGAGCGGTTAGCCATTTGGTGGAGGTTAATAAATTATTATTCCTCCCCAGACAAACCAGAGCACTGGCTACCTCGCATCTAGAACTAATAAACATATAAACATAAATAAATTCATAAATAAATTAATAAATAAAATACTATTACTAATATTAGACCATCTTTATCCGCAAATACTTAAGTGCGCCTTGGCACACCTAGCAAGGTGTGCCAAGACTTTTTTAAATGAACATGTTACTTTATAAAATGAATATTTTTTTCAAATGAACATGTTCATTTTGAACGTCCTTAAGGTGTGCCAGGGTGCACGATAGTAGCACTGATCTTCATCTTCAACTCAACTCAACTTAATAATTAAAAATTCTTTCTCTTTTTCACATACACAACTCAATATTCCAACTTAATTAATCTTTATCTCCAATTCAACTCAACCTAAATATTCATTTTAATTTAATTTATTTCATAATTATAATTTTATTCCAAAATATATCAAGTTTGGTCTCTATTAGTAAAGAATGAAAAAATACGAAATTTAATATATTTTTTTAATTTTTTTTAAACAAAAAAAAAACACTTATCTAATCAAAATGGGACAAGTGTCCCATTTTTATGCAATAAGCAAGGTCACGACCCAAGGTCACAATGTGACATGAGTTGCTCAAATCCAGAGAACTACCCTAGCAACTACATACTACTAATTTAGCAACAACAGAGAACTAACATATCAACTATAGAGAACTAACCTAGCAACTAGAGAGAACTAACCTAGCAACTACAGAGAACTAACCTAGCAACTACAGACAACTAACCTAGCATCTAACCTAGGCGTGCCCAGGATCACATCTTTTGGGTTTTGGGTGAGGGCGAGGTTAGTTTTTGGGATGAGTGGTGGTTAGGTGAAAGGCCGTTGTCTAGAGACAGGTTGGTGACTCATTCCCCCTACCTGCTTGTGAGCGACCTTTGGACGGACGGGTCGTGGGATAGGGGGAAGCTTGATAGAGAGCTGGGCTCCGGGGCGGGTTTTAGCGAGCATTTACTAGATCAGATCCAGCAGATACGCATCTCGGGGGACAGTTTGGATGGCATGAGGTGGACTTACATCATCGGGTGTGTTTTCTACTACCTCGACTTGGGAGCAGATCAGGCTGAGAGATCGGTCTAATCTTCTCTTCGGAGCCATCTGGAGCGATCTGTTCACCCCTACCATTTCGCTATTCCTTTGGCGCCTCCTCTTGCGCCGGATACCCGTGGACATTGTTTCACATGCGAGGGGGTTCTCCTTCCCCTCCCGGTGTGTGTGTTGTCCTGAGACTGGACGCCATGAGACGAGACCTTTACCCACATTTTTCTAGAGAGTGAGATTGTGAGGAGAGTGTGGGAGCACTTTGCCACCTGGACACATATATCTCTACCCTCCATAGACAGTTTCTTTGAGCTTCTGAGTTTTTTCTCACAGAGCACACACTTTAGACACGTGGGCTTCCTCATTCCTTGTCTGATCCTTTGGTTCACGTGGACGGAAAGGAATAGTGCGAATCATAGGGATATTACTTTTTTGCTTTCTCACATTGTTTTGCAGGTAGAGAGACATCTTTCACTCCTCACATCTTTAGGCAGGCTCACTGCCCGAGACTGGACAGGCTGCACGCCACCACACCGCTACATGGTGGCTCCTCCTGCGGCTGTTCGGCCCCCTAGGCCCAGATCTGTTGTTTGGCTTCGACCCGATTCTCATTGGGTCAAGCTGAACACTGATGGTTCTTTCGATCGCTAGACCGGAGTTGCCGGAGAAGGAGGTTTGATCCGGGACCATAGCGGGCCCTTATCACCGCCTTCCACACGTCCCTTCAGGCCTCCTCGAGCTACGACGCAGAGATTCAGGCACTACAGATTGGCCTTCATATTTTTGCCCACATCTCTAGTCATATTTGGATCGAGCTGGACGCTGCGGCTGTCGTCACCATCCTAACCTCGGGCCATCAGGGCTCGTGGCAGATCCAGCACCCGCTTATGCGCATTAGAGCTCTTCTGTGGTCTGTTCATCACAGGATTACGCAGATTTTCCGTGAAGGGAATAGACCTGCTGACTACCTGCCAGCCTTGGCGCCACCACATCTGACCTACACACGTTTCAGACCGACACTGCTCCACTCCGCCTTCGCACGCTGGTACGGATGGACCAGCTTGGATATCCATCTTTCTGCTTTTAGTAGATTAGATTTTGTTCTCATTAGATCATACATTTATTTCGGGCACCTGTTAGCCCGATGACAGACCTTGTATTATTTTCTTTTTCTGTTTTTATTTTCTTTTTTATTGTGAGACTATGTTGACTGTAGCTGTTTGATATTTTGAGCCCGTTTTGGGGTCTTGATCTATGTACAGGTTGGGGATCCAGCCCAATCCCCCGCCCCTCGGGGCGTTGTTTGTTAAAAAAAAAAAACTAGCAACTACAAGAACTAACTTAGGAACTATTTGATATTTTGGGCCGGTTTTGGGGTCCTGATCTATATACAGGTTGGGGATCCAGCCCAATCCCCCGCTCTTCAGGGAAAAAAAAAAACTTAACAACTACAGATAACTAACCTAGCAACTACAGAGAACTAACCTAGTTGGAAGGTTAGTTGTCAATGGTCAACGTTGGAGTCAACGCTAAAAGTAAACGGCCAATGCCGGAAGTCAACGAATTTCGCCGGAAGTCAATGCTGGAAGTTAACGGTCAACGCTAGAGTCAACAGGTCAAAATAATATTTAAATAATTAAAATAATAAAAAGAAAAGATTAAATCTTGGCTACACATTATGTACCAAATCTTGTAGCTAAAAATGAGTCTCACGTCCTCACTTTAAGAAACCAGCCGCATTTGAACCAATCCCTCACTAATATTAAGGGAAATTTACCCAATTATATATATGCAATTTTTTTACATATTATTCTATCAAAAAACTTGTAATGAGATTAAATGCAATTTAAAAATCACATAATCAAATGATAACTGCATAATTGACAATTATGGACAATTTTGTTGTATATATAATAATGCATATCCAAATTGGACACATAAGGGGCGGATAACGAAATTTATTTTGAGGGGAACTATATATTTTTTAATAATAATAGATTTAATTCAATGTAAATAAAAATCAAAAGTTGTATTATAAATTATATAAAATTATAGTGACATATAGGGTCGCGCTCCAGTGAGAATAGTGTTAAATGAAAAAAATAAGAATGCATCTTGGCCACATAATTGAATTAATCTGACGCGCTCAGGCAGCCCATACGCGCATAACACCTAAGGCTAATTGTGTATTTGTTGTTAGACAATTAACACGTAAAAATCTTGCAACTCTCACTTTCTCTCACCCACACACACTGTAATGCCCCGTCCGTTTATAAATTATTTTGCATTATTTATTATATTAAATTTTGCATTATTATTACTATTATTATTATTGATATTATTTTATGTCTAAATTGCTTTTAATTGTTTAATTTTCTAAATGCATAATTGTTATTGTTATTATTATTATTAGTATTGTTATTATGTGTCTAAATGCCTAGTAATATTATATGTAATTAATGTGTGTATTATATAAATAGTTACCCGATTTTTATTTTAATTGTCGTGCTATAATCGAGCCTTGCATATTATCGTAAGTCGAACTGAGAAGTCTCGGCCCGTGTCTTTGAACCGTGAGCCCCGCACCAGCCCGGACCCGACTCTCTCTCTCTCTCTCTCTCTCTCTCTCTCTCTCTCTCTCTCTCTTTTCTCTCTCGTTAGCTTGGATGGCAAGTTTTGAAGTAAAACCTAATGTTATATATTCACATGAGAGAACCTTAGCAGATTTATAATCCCACAACCTTTTTATTCTCTCAAACTCACGCCTCTCTTTCACGCAAGCAGAGAAGAGAAAATCTTCCCCATCGTTTCTCTCTACCTCGCAGGTTTGCAGCAGAAGAAAAGTTCTCCCTCAACTCTCGAATCTCTCCTTTTGTCTCGCATAGCACCATCGTCGTTAAAAAAAAGGAAAAAGAAAAAGAAACAGAATAGAGAAATTTATGTCGCTCACTTTCTCGTTTTTCTCCATCGACGTACCATCATCATCACTGGCATCGCCATTATCGCTCGATCTCTTCTCGCAGTAGAGGAGAACTCGTCTCCCTCCACTAACATCATCATCTCACCATCACCATCGTCTCCATCATCATCGCGCGATCACCCCCCCTCTGTCACCCTCAGGCCGTCGCCCTCTCGCCGTCACAGGCCCTTCATCGACGCTGTCCTCTGTTACCAGACCACCACACGTGATTGTTGTTCTCTCATCTTGACCGTGAACCACCGGTGAGACCCGCATCCCTGTTTGCGACCCTCATCCCAGTCCCTCTCTCCCCAGCAACGTGAAGGTCAACACGCAAGGAGCAGCCCCGACCATCGTCACTCTCTATTGAGTCGTTAACCGCCACCGTGAGCCTCCTAGTTTCGGTCGAGCACCACCAGCAAGTTCTCGCTGTCCGCCGGCACCTCAGCGATCATTTTTCGGCGTCCCTAGCAAGCCGGAGCAGCCCCCGCAAGACTACGTACACGCACGTCCCGTGAGCCAAAATTGTCGAGCCCGACGAGCGTACTCCCGACCT